TGGGACTAAGGAATCAAGTGACGGGAGATGTATTGAAAGAAGGGAGAGGGATGGCCTGACAGGCAGAGGGCTCACTCCAGGGGCCCTGGGCAGCTCTGCCCATGCCCCCACCCTCCTCTCCCGCACAGCTGCCCCCTCTCCCACACCAGCCCCACCCTTTCTGACTCCCCACTCGCCCCCCAGGGGCTCAGGAGTTTAGGTCACATCTGTGGCAGGGTGAAGTGGGGAGAGAAACAGAAAGAAAACTCAGGGTTTAGTTGGGCTGGCAAATGAATGGATGAGGTTAATGATGCCTCCGGGTACAAAAATGGCTTCTCGATTGTTAACGGACTACAGGAAAAGAAAATACCTTTCTGGGGTCACTAGACCTCGCCTGGGTCAATAGGAGGACTCAGTGACTAGTAGAACCCTGGCAGCGAGGTGATCACCAGGGAGAGGCAGGAGATTCTCTCAAGCACTGCCCCGCTGTTGGTGGGCTTAGGAACAGCGGCCTGGACCAGGTGGCAACGGGCAGTTTCCAGACTTCGGGAGCCACACACGCTCTTCTAAGGAAGTCTAGCAAGGGTGGCTTTATTGTTAAGAAATCTGGACCTGGGGGCGCCTGGGTGGCTCAGATGGTTAAGCGTCTGCCTTCGGCTCAGGTCATGATCCTGGAGTCCCGGGATCGAGTCCCACATCGGGCTCCCGGCTCAGCGGGGAGCCTGCTTCTCCCTCTGACCCTCTCCCCTCTCATGCTGTTTCTCTCTCGCTCGCTCTCTAAAAAATAAATAAAATCTTAAAAAAAGAAATCTGGACCTGAAAGGAATATTGAAACTGACCAGCCCATTTAATTTAGGAAACAGGATGAAATGGATGGCCAGCTCTTCAGTGCCTGTACTCACAAATGGATTCAGAGCCCAGGAGGGAGGGACAGGCCTCCGCTGCTTATCGTCACAGGACCCGTGCGAGGGGATACAGGATCTCAGATTTGTTTTGTCTTCTTAGATTACCAACAGAAACTCTTAAGCACCCAGTGATGTGCTGAATTATCTGAAAAATAACAGAGTTTGAGAGTGAACTGTGGTTCGCATTAGTTAGGGCTCAAGGCAAATGTGGTAACTGCGGTTTCCTCTTCTATCATAGTAAATGCTGACCAAATTTAAGAGAAGGAGCAGGAGCTCCCAATAAAGAAAGAAAAACAGGTTTTTCTCTCCTGGTAAATTGTATCATTGGATTTTGTGATAATTAGCACTTCATATTATATTATAGTGATGGTGTCAGACCAACAGCCAGACAGAATTAATGAGTTAAATATCTGTCAGCAGGAAGCTTCAGGTCTGATTAAGGGCACTGCAGGTGTGTGTGTGTGTGTGTGTGTGTGTTTTCATGGTGGTCAGTGTATTGAATTGTCAGAGAGACCATCATACTATTAGCATCAATTATCAATGATTCAAGAAAATTATAATCTCTCCTCTTGATCATAGGAAGAAAACTTCAGAGAATAATAATTGATATAATAAGAAGAAAAGGCACACTGAAATACAAATTTAAAACCTCCTCTTAAAAAAAAATAAAAAAACCTCCTCTTTAGTGACTGATGTAAGTGCATAAATGAATAAAGCAGGACTCAAATCATTCATTCCTGTCCAACTACTGCTTCAAAATAACCAAGTGGTTTTGTGACATAAAACTTTTCATTAATGAGTTAATTCTGGGGAATATAAAATTTACCAGGGTTTACCAAGCAGCGGGCACTCTGCCTTGCACTTTTTTTTTATTTACTTATTTGACAGAGAGAGAGAGAGCACAAGCAGGGGGGGTGGCAGGCAGAGGAGAAGCAGAGGTCCTTATGTGGGGCTCGGCTTAACCCCAGGACCCTGGTATCATGACCTGAGCAGAAGGCCAACTGACCAACCCAGGCACCCCTGCCTTGCACGTTATATATATTGTTCATTTAATCCTTCTATCAGCCCCACGAGTATATTTTGTCATTCTAATTTCAGGTGAAGAAATGCAACATCCAATAGAACTGCCCATCCTTTATTTTAACAACTAATATTTATTGAACATCTTCACTGAGCATTGATTAAGAAAGACTATATCAGAAGGGGAAAATATCACCCCTACCAAAAAGGAGGTTTGAGTGAAGTTACAGTTATAAAGAAAAATGTGAGAGGAAATAGATAAAAAAAAAAACTAAAAACAGAAGAGAGAAATAATGCTATGGCACAATGTAATATCAGAGCTGTCACAATGCATTATATAGTTGATTGTCAAATGAGTGGCAGAGATAGAAACTATTAGTTTAGAAAAGAAAGAGAAAATTGTGGGCTAAAGTGGTCTGAGAAGATTGAAGGAGAGAAGAGAGTTGACCTTGGTCAGGAGGGATGAGCAAGATTTGGGTACAACAAGAAGGTCAGGAGGACAGGGCAGGACACTTCAGACCGGGACTAGGAAAGAAAAGTCGTGGGGAGCGAGTACCAGTTCTGTTTGGGAGGCAAAGAGCTGTCCAGTTTGGAGAGGAGGGTGAACACAAACAGGCACTGAGCAGTAAGGAAGAAGAAGCGAGTTGAGTTGTGCAACAGGCTCTTAAGAAGGAGAGAGAAGAATCTGCAGCATATTCTTTTAGAAAAATTGAACCATCCCCATTTTAATCAAATCTATTGTTGGCACCTGCTTGCAGTTAATTGCCCTCACTGATCATCAATCATGTGGTCCAGTAGCCTTGTACTTTGCTTCTCAAATAGCATTCTCTATCACTATTATTATGGTCATATAGAATACTTTCAAAAGCAGCTTATATAGCTCAAATCCAGTGGTCTCCAACAGTTTCTGGCCATATACATCATCAGGAAAAAAAATTGAGCTTGCTGCCCCCCTATAAATAAAATAGATAGATAAACATATGCATATATGCATATACATATATACATATTATAAGTTAATATGTTGTATTTGTTGTAAAACTTACATTAAAATATAAATTAAAAATGAGAAATAAAATCAACATTTGCCTTTTTATTTTATGTAATCACAATTTAATGTTAACCTTTTGCTGAAATTGAAAACATTATTCATAGTAATATTTCCAGAGAAAGCCTTGAGCCTGAATATGCTTCACATTTCAGAAAGTCTTGGTTTAATACATTGTGATAGAACAATTGTAAGGTCCAGCACTGATTTCAGTTTATTTCGATCCTTGGTTTTCATGGCTGCCCTGCCTGTTAAAGGTACTTCAGGAAGACACACAATGCCTGTGGATGAAGGCACAATTGGTTCTGCCGAGTAGTCATGCGTTCACTCTTCAATCCTATGTACCCAAGAGCAAAACTATTTGTTGGAATTTTGCTAGTCAGTTTCTAGCTTATCTAAAGTCAAGCAGGTTAGAAAAATTTTCCTGACATTTTCAGTGTGCTCTCACATAGGAGAACTTTAATCATAATTTTTGGCAAGAATATCACACAGAGATGGAACCGTTTCTAAACACCCGTTTTCAGAGGGTGTTTACTTTCCCGCTCACTGACTGACCTTTCTTTACATCTGATGGGATTACCCTTATTTTTACCTGGCAGTGGGGCTAAGGCAGAGTGAGGAAGACAAGTGTGAGCGCCAGCCCGTCCTACCAAGGTGATTCTCTGGGGCTTGTATGGTTAGCATTCTCTTCAGTCCCGTTTTTTCACACAATTATTATAAGTCACTTCTCTGTTCTATGAAGGGCAGTTTTGTTAAAAGAAGATAGTAAATCCACAAATCCCCTTACCTGGGCATATATAAACTAAAAGAATAAAGCAGCGATGGCACATCACCAAATCCCCTGTGCTACAGAATCCTCACCCTCCTTTCTGGTCACCTCAAAACCACTGTGAGCTAGGTGACTCTGGCTGAAGGACTGAAGAGGCCTCCATGCAAATTAAAAATTAAACGTTAGAAATTTAATCCTTTTACTAATAATACAAGTTCCGATACTCTCTTCCCACACCTTAGTGGATCATCTTCTTCATCCTCTTCTTCATCCTCTAATTGTGGATGTCACTCTGGAAATAACTGTTCTGTACCTGCTTTGAGTGCATGGCATCTAAAAGCAAAGGAGTTTGTGACTTGACCCAAGAGCTACAGTCATTTTGTGCTGATGCCCACATCAGAAGCAGGTCTCTGCACTCACAGCCCCTGGGCCCACTAGGGGATGGTTATGTGTCAAGAATTCACAAGTATGCACAGATAAGTCAGAATCTCAGATGAGATTTCTGATACATTTTCAGGTGTTTTTTTTTTTCCTCCATCCCCTGCCTACCTCTCCTCCATCCACAAAATTAGCACTGTATCTTACCCTTAGTATGCATTCAATTTGTATTTTAGAATTAAATGTAATCCAAAGTGCTTTTCTACAGTAAAGGAACAGTCAACTCAAACAAATGCTCACAGACACATTCACAAATCAGTGCAGACATGTGACTTGCTTAAACGTCATCGAAGGGAACCCCAGCCCAAATATCTCCCCTAAAGACCCAATACAATGTCAGAAATGTCCACCCCCCCCCCCCCCCCCAGTTATTCTTAACAGGCCCTTTTCATTATGCACTCCTAGTTGGGATATGAGCTTTGTGTACTTGAAGTAATAGTGCATAGCACATTATGTTAAAATCATATTATTAATATCAATAGAATGGTCTATAATTTAGAATTTAATTATGAAGCTTAAGCTCTAAATGCCATAAGAATTAGAATAAGAAGAGATGAGAACGGGCTGGAGAAGCAAGGGATGTTTTCAGGGAGGAAGGCAAATCACTCTGGGCTGTGAGGAATGAGTAGTCCTCCTAAAGCAGGGACAGAGGCTCCAGCAGGCAGAGTATAGCTGGGACAGGACAGGGCACTTCAGACCGGGACTAGGAAAGAAAAGTCTATGGGAAGCGAGCACCACTTCTGTTTGGGAGGACACGTGCAGGGCTGACGGGAGGTCCACAGAGTCAGGATCAGACTCATGAGTCCAGTGAGTGTGTTCACACGGGCTTTTTCTCCTAAAGGTGTCTTCAGTGCCTATTCCAGATGAAAATACCTTCATGGAAGCGACATCCCTGTCAACTGAATTTTCATATCTCCCCATTAAATGGTAAGAATGTGATTGGAATGTTACATTTATGAGGCAGGTTTTGAAACCTCTGAAGATAATTGTTAGTTACTGCAGTAAAAATGTGCCCTTCATGCGACTTTCCCCCAAAAGCTCCCCAATCTGGTGGGTTTGCAATTCTTGGCTCTATTATGTCCCATCAAGACTAAAATATGAAGTGACTTCAAGGGGCCCAAGGGGTGGGGCAGAAAAATAAATAAATGTATGATGTTCTAATTGCTATTTAATATCACGGAATTGGAAGCAGTGAGGTTAATGGACCGCCCCAATGCATATGCAACCTTCCTCAGTTTGAATGGTTCTCTGGTACCTTTGATTACCCACTGAAGGAATGCAGCCTCCTCTGGAGGCTAACAGCATCCTCAGAGGTCTCTTTTCCTGCCTTGTGATGAAGATAATTTTTGCACATATACAACTCACCCCCACTCTCTTCTCAGCTTTGAAAAATGGCCTAGTCAGCTTTTGTCTTGCCTCCAGCATATCTGTGGGCATGGCAGTCACATGCCATGTTTTCGAGGGTGGTCTCTATGTCCTGTAATCTGCGCCATCATAAAACCAGGTACAACATATATAGGCTGAGAAAATATGGACAATGCACTTAAGGGAAACTGCCTCCAATGTGCTCAAAGAAATAAATTTCATTTTACCACGAACATAAACCTGTATCTAGACCTACGCATCCCCAGTCATAACAGGCTCCTCTGCTTGTCACTTCGGTCCACACAGCATGCATGGGCTCAGAATCACTCCACATGTGCTCTCTTCCTTGATAAAATCCCTCAAGAATTGACTCAGGACCTGTTAGACAGACCAGCACATCCAGGTTTCTCCCTTTGCTCTTTTCCTTGAGTCCTTACTGTCTGACCCACTATCTATAATTTATTATTCTTTATGCACGTGTTTCTGCCTCTATTCCCTGCATTCTGAAGGTAGATGCAAATTTTAGTCTGTTTAGTTCATAGTTCTCTGGATCAAGGATACTCCTGAGATGATGGAAAAGAAGGTATAGAGGGGTTAAGTACTTGCTTAAGATCCCACAGCTAATAAGTGTCAGAGTCAGATCCCAACCAAGCTGCTAACTCTGGAGTTCAAGCATTTTACCACTTTTCTATATGTCCCTAAACTAATTTATGATCTAGTTAGTGAAACAAAAACATTCTTTTTTTTTCTTTCACATTTTTTTATTCTTATGTTAATCCCCATACATTACATCATTAGTTTTAGATATAGTGTTCCATGATTCATTGTTTGTGCATAACACCCAGTGCTCCATGCAGAACGTGCCCTCCTCAATACCCATCACCAGGCTAACCCATCCTCCCACCCCCCTCCCCTCTAGAACCTTCAGTTTGTTTTTCAGAGTCCATTGTCTCTCATGGTTCGTCTACCCCTCCGATTTCTCCCCCTTCATTCTTCCCCTCCTGCTACCTTCTTCTTCTTCTTCTTCTTCTTTTCTTAACATATATTGCATTATTTGTTTCAGAGGTACAGATCTGAGATTCAATAGTCTTGCACAATTCACAGCGCTTACCAGAGCACATACCTTCCCCAGTGTCTATCACCCAGTCACCCCATCCCTCCCACCCCACCCCCCACTCCAGCAACCCTCAGTTTGTTTCCTGAGATCAAGAATTCCTCATATCAGTGAGATCATATGATACATGTCTTTCTCTGTTTGACTTATTTCGCTCAACATAATACCCTCCAGTTCCATCCACGTCGTTGCAAATGACAAGATCTCATTCCTTTTGATGGCTGCATAATATTCCATTGTATATATATACCACTTCTTCTTTATCCAGTCATCTGTCGATGGACATCTTGGCTCTTTCCACAGTTTGGCTGTTGTGGACATTGCTCCTATAAACATCGGGGTGCACGTACCCTTTTGGATCCCTACTTTTGTATCTTTGGGGTAAATACCCAGTAGTGCAATTGCTGGATCATATGGTAGCTCTATTTTCAACTTTTTGAGGAACCTCCATACTGTTTTCCAGAGTGGCTGCACCAGCTTGCATTCCCACCAACAGTGTAGGAGGGTTCCCCTTTCTCCGCATCCTCACCAACATCTGTCGTTTCCTGACTTGTTAATTTTAGCCATTCTGACTGGTGTGAGGTGGTATCTCATTGAGGTTTTGATTTGGATTTCCCTGATGCCGAGCGATATTGAGCACTTTTTCATGTGTCTGTTGGCCATTTGGATGTCTTCTTTGGAAAAATGTCTGTTCATGTCTTCTGCCCATTTCTTGATTGGATTCTTTGTTCTTTGGGTGTTGAGTTTGATGAGTTCTTTATAGATTTTGGATACTAGCCCTTTATCAGATATGTCATTTGCAAATATCTTCTCCCATTCTGTCGGTTGTCTTTTGGTTTTGTTGACTGTTTCCTTTGCTTTGCAAAAGCTTTTTATCTTGATGAAGTCCCAATAGTTCATTTTTGCCCTTGCTTCCCTTGCCTTTGGCGATGTTTCTAGGAAGAAGTTGCTTCGGCTGAGGTCGAAGAGGTTGCTGCCTGTGTTCTCCTTTAGGATTTTGATGGACTCCTGTCTCACATGGAGGTCTTTCAACCATTTGGAGTCTATTTTTGTGTGTGGTGTAAGGAAATGGTCCAGTTTCATTCTTCTGCATGTGGCTCTCCAATTTTCCCAACACCATTTGTTGAAGAGACTGACTTTTTTCCATTGGACATTCTTTCCTGCTTTGTCAAAGATGAGTTGACCATAGAGTTGAGGGTCCATTTCTGGGCTCTCTATTCTGTTCCATTGATCTATGTGTCTGTTTTGTGCCAGTATCATACTGTCTTGATGATGACAGCTTTGTAATAGAGCTGGAAGTCCGGAATTGTGATGCCGCCAGCTTTGCTTTTCTTTTTCAACATTCCTCTGGCTATGCGGGGTCTTTTCTGGTTCCATACAAATTTTAGGATTATTTTTTCCATTTCTTTGAAAAAAGTGGATGGTCTTTTGATGGGGATTGCATTGAATGTGTAGATTGCTCTAGGTAGCATTAACATCTTCACAATATTTGTTCTTCCAATCCATGAGCATGGAACGTTTTTCCATTTCTTTGTGTCTTCCTCAATTTCTTTCATGAGTATTTTATAGTTTTCTGAGTACAGATCCTTTGCCTCTTTGGTTAGATTTATGCCTAGGTATCTTATGGTTTTGGGTGCAATTGTAAATGGGATCGACTCCTTAATTTCTCTTTCTTCTGTCTTGTTGTTGGTGTATAGGAATGCCACTGACTTCTGTGCATTGATTTTATATCCTGCCACTTTACTGAATTCCTGTATGAGTTCTAGCAGTTTTGGGGTGGAGTCTTTGGGGTTTTCCACATAAAGTATCATATCATCTGCAAAGAGTGAGAGTTAGACTTCTTTGCCGATTTGGATGCCTTTGATTTCTTTTTGTTGTCTGATTGCTGTGGCTAGGACTTCCAATACTATGTTGAATTGCAGTGGTGATAGTGGGCATCCCTGCTGCATTCCTGACCTTAGGGGGAAGCTCTCAGTTTTTCCCCATTGAGAATGATATTCGCTGTAGGTTTTTCATAGATGGCTTTTAGGATATTGAGGTATGTACCCTCTATGCCTATACTCTGAAGAATTTTGATCAAGAAAGAGTGCTGTACTTTGTCAGATGCTTTTTCTGCATCTATTGAGAGGATCATATGATTCTTGTTCTTTCTTTTGTTAATGTATTGTACCACATTGATTGATTTGCGGATGTTGAACCAACCTTGCAGCCCAGGGATAAATCCCACTTGGTCGTGGTGAATAATCCTTTTAATGTACTGTTGGATCCTATTGGCTAGTATTTTGGTGAGAATTTTTGCGTCCATGTTCATCAGGGATATTGGTCTGTACTTCTCCTTTTTGATGCGGTCTTTGTCTGGTTTTGGGATCAAGGTAATGCTGGCCTCATAAAATAAGTTTGGAAGTTTTCCTTCCATTTCTATTTTTTGGAACAGTTTCAGAAAAATAGGTATTAATTCTTCTTGAAATGTTTGGTAGAATTCCCCTGGGAAGCCATCTGGCCCTGGGCTTTTGTTTTTTGGGAGATTTTTGATGACTGCTTCAATTTCCTTAGTGGTTATAGGTCTGTTCAGGTTTTCTATTTCTTCCTGGTTCAGTTTTGGTAGTTGATACATCTCTAGGAGTGCATCCATTTCTTCCAGGTTATCTAATTTGTTGGCATGAGTTGCTCATAATATGTTCTTATAATTTTTTGTATTTCTTTGGTGTTGGTTGTGATCTCTCCTCTTTCATTCATGATTTTGTTGATTTGGCTCATTTCTCTTTTCTTTTTGATAAGTCTGCCCAGGGGTTTATCAATCTTGTTAATTCTTTCAAAGAACCAGCTCCTAGTTTCGTTGATCTGTTCTACTGTTCTTTTAGTTTCTATTTCATTGATTTCTGCTCTGATCTTTATTATTTCTCTTCTCCTGCTGGGTTTAGGCTTTATTTGCTGTTCTTTCTCCAGCTCCTTTAGGTGTAGGGTTAGGTTGTGTACTTGAGACCTTTCTTGTTTCTTAAGAAAGGCTTGTATTGCTATATACTTTCCTCTTAGGACTGCCTTTGCTGCATCCCAAAGATATTGAATAGTTGTGTTTTCATTTTCATTGGTTTCCATGTATTTTTTTAATTCTTCTTTAATTTCCTGGTTGACCCATTCATTCTTCAGTAGGATGCTCTTTAGCCTCCATGTATTTGAGTTCTTTCCGACTTTTCTCTTGTGATTGAGTTCTAGTTTCAAAGCATTGTGGTCTGAAAATAGGCAGGGAATGATCCCAATCTTTTGGTACCGGTTGAGACCTGATTTATGACGTAGGATGTGATCTATTCTGGAGAATGTTCCATGGGGACTAGAGAAGAATGTGTATTCCGTTGCTTTGGGATGGAATGTTCTGAATATGTCTGTGAAATCCATTTGGTCCAGTGTGTCATTTAAAGTCTTTATTTCCTTGTTGATCTTTTGCTTAGACGATCTGTCCATTTCAGTGAGGGGGGTATTAAAGTCCCCCACTCTTATTGTATT